AATTAAAGAAATACACAGAAACAACTAGATGTCATTATTCATTAATAAAAAGTTAAAGGCTTGATAAAAATCGAATGTCAGTGAGGGTAATCATAATTTATTTTTACATTACAAATCACTCCAAAACTCTGGGGCTTAAAACAATTAGCATTTACCAGCTCACAAGTCCTCAGGTTGGCTGGGCATTCTTGTCTGAGCCACACTCAGCTGTTCACGGGTCCTGGCTGGGCCTGCTCATGTGTTGTGGTCAGCTGGGGGTTGGCTGGAAACCTGCTGGTCTAGGGTGGCCTCACCTGAGATGGCTCTGCTCTGTTCCATGTGGTCTCTCATCCTCCAGGAGACTAGCTTGGGCTCACTCACATGGCAGTTGTGGCTGGAATCTTAAGAATGAAAGCAGAAGCTGCAAAGTCTCTTGAGGCCGAGGCTCAGAGCTTGTATATCATCACTTCTGTCACATGCTAACTAGCCAAACCAAGTTATAAGGCCAGCCCCAAAAGACCTCTGAATGGGAGAAAGTACTGTAGGTGTGATCATAAACTGATAAAAATCATTCACGGGTAAAGTTTGTCAATATCTAACAAAAACCTTAAAAATCTTCATACCTTTTGATCCATGTTTAAGAATTTATTCAAAGGAGCTGATTTGAAAAGAATGTAAAGATGTGTGTATCAGAATGTTCATCACATCACTGTTTATATTAGCAAAACATCTGGGAAAAGTTACCTACTCAATGAAAAGGGATTGGTTATGTGGATTATAAACCATGTAGAAAATAGAGCACTATGCAGCCATGTAAAATAATGACATAACTATATTCACTGATGTGTAAAGACTTCAGTAAAGAAAGCAGGTTACAAAAAGCATGTTTATCATAATCCTAGTTTGGATTTTCAATTCCTATTTTATATCTTTCTGTATCATCCAAGTTTCTGTTTTGTTTTAATTCTGCTTGGGCTTTTTTTTATCTGGTTGGTTTTTGTTTTGTTTTTTAAATATATCTTTATTGATTTCAGAGAAAGGAAAGGAGAGGGAGAGAGAGATAGAAACATCAATGATGAGAGAATCATTGATCGGCTGCCTTTTGCACGCCCCCAAGTGGGGATTGAGCCCGCAACCTGGGCATGCGCCCTGACTGGGAATCAAACCATGATCTCCTGGATCCTAGGTCAGTGCTCAACTGCTAAGCCACCCCTGGCTGGGTATTATCTGGTTGGTTTTTAAATTTTTATTTTATTTTCAATTTTGAGTTTTATCATGCATAGATTTATGTAACCACCACCACAGCCAGATTACAGAGCAGTTCTGTTACTCCCAAAATTATCTTGTGAAGACTCTTTGTAATCGCATCTTCCCATCACTCCTAAGAGTTTCTCAGCATTGTTTAAAGTATTTCTTATTATGGATGTACCACAGGGTGTTTATCCATTCACCCATTGAAGGACATTTAGATTGTTTCCAGTTTGAAGTGATTATGAGTAGAGCTTCTGTAAACATTTGTGTATAGGCTTTTGTATGAACATAAATTTTCATATCTCTGGGATAAAAGTCCAAGAGTGCAGTAGTTGGGTCATATGTTAAGTATATGTTTTGTTTTATAAGAAACTGCCAAACTATTTTCCAGAGTGGGTGTACTGTTTTACAATACCACCAGAAATATATGAGAGATCCAGTTTCTCCACAACCTTGTCAGCATATAGTATTACCACTATTTTTTATTATTGCTCTTCTAATAAGTGTGATATTTCATCATGGTTTTAATTTGCATTCTAATGGCTAATCACGTTGAATATCCTTTTATGTGCTTACTCACCATTTCTGTTTTGGCAAAATACCTGTTCTTTCACCCATTTTCTAGTTGGATTGTCTTTGTACTTTTGTAAAAAATCAATTTGCCATATTTGTATGGTTCTATTTCTTAATTCTTTATTATATGCTCTTGACCTATGTATCTATCTCTTTGCTACTATCACACTGCTGTGATTACTGTAGCTTTATAGTACATCATAAAGTCAGATAGTTGGAGTCCTCCAACATTTTTTTCAAAATTGGTTTGGCTACTTTAGTTGTTGTATCTTTTCATCTAAATTTTAAGATCTTGCCTATATCTACAATCTAAAAAATTCCTCCAAGAAGTTTGATAGAGTTTGCATTTAATCCTTAGGTAAATTTAGGGAGAATGCTAACTTGGCAATATTGAGTCTTCCAATTCCTGAACTTGGTACGTCTCCCCACTTATTAAAGTCTTCAAAATTTGTTTGATCATATTTTGTAGTTTTCAGCATACAGTTTCTACACCTTTTAAAAAAAGATTTATACTTAGGTATTTCAATTTTTGGAGCTATGTGAAATAGCAATTTTTAAATTCAATTTCCAATCATTTATTGCTAGTATAAATAAAATTAATTTTGGGTGCGGATCTTGTATCCTGTGACCATGCTAAACTTACTTATTACTTCTAGGGACTTTTCTTGTAGATTTTTTGAGATTTTCTATGTAGACAAGCATGCCACTTATGAATAAGGAAAGTTTTATTTATTTCTTACCAATCTATTTGACTTTTTTTTTGTTTTATCACACTGGGTAGAACTACCAGTACAATGTTTATTAGGAGCAATAAGAGTGGACATCCATGCCTAGTTCCCAATCTCAGAGAAAAAGAATTCCATTTTTTATCATTAAATATGCTGTTAGCTGTAGAATTTTGGTCAATACCTTTTATCAGATTAAGGAAGTTCCCTTCTATTCCTAGTTTGTTGAGAGGTTTTATCATGAATAGATGTTAAATTTTGTCAAATGCCTTTTCTGCACCAGTCGATACCACCATGTGATTTTCTTCTTTGGCCTGTTAATATAGTGAATTACATTCATTGGCTGTCAGATACTGAACTAGCCTTGCATTCCCAAAATAAGCCACACTTGGTTGTGGTGTATTATTCTTTCACTATATAGCTCTATTTAATTTTCTAGTATTTTGTTGAGGATTTTTTGCTCATAAAAAATATTGATGTGTAGTGTTCTTTTCTTATACTGTCTTTCTCTGGTTTTGGTATCAGATTAAAGCTGGGTTCATATAAGCATGAAACATTCACTACTCTTCTATTTTCTGAAGGCTCTGATGAAAAATTGGTGTTATTTTTTTAAATTGTTAAATGTTGGAGGACTCTAACTATCTGATTTTCCAGTGAAACCACCTGGGCCTTGCATTTGTTTGTTTGTTTGGTTTTGGAAGGTTTTGAACTACAAATTTAGTTTTAGAAATAAATGTAGGAACATTCAGGTTATCTACTCCTTTGGTGAGTTTTGGTAGTTTGTAGCTTTCAAGGAATTGTACTATTTCATCTAAGTTGTAGAATTTATGTACACAGAGTCGTTTGTATTCCTTATTGTTATTTTAATATATATGGGGTCTGTAGTCATAACACGCATTTCATTCCTGATATTGGTGTTTTGATTTCTGATTTGTGTCTTACCTCTTTTCTTTTTTTGTCAATCTGGTTAAAGGGTTTATCAATTTTACTGACATTTTAAAAGAACCAGGTTTTGGTTTAATGGATTATTCTCTCATCAATTTTCTCAAGTTTTTTTTTTCTGCACCACACCATTTCTCCTGTCCTTCTGGCATCTCAGTGACATGAATGTTTGCCCTTCAGGTATTGTCCCACAGATCCCTGGGGCTCTGTTCACTTTTTTTCTCTCTGTTGTTCATATTGGATCATTTCTGTTACTCTATCTTCAAGTTCACTAAGTCTTCCTTCCATCGTCTCTATTCTGTTATTGAGCATATCCAGAGAATTTTTTAAACTACTATATTTTTCAGTTCTAAAATTTACATTTGTCTTCTTTATACCTTTTCATTTTTTGCTGATACTTTCTTTTTTTACATTTGTTTCAAGACTGTTTGCCCTCTCTTTTTAGAGCATGGCTATTCTAAAGTCTTTTGCTGATAATTCCAAAATCTGTGTCATCGTGCGATTGGCGTATGTTGATTGCCTTGTCCTTTTCAAGTTGATATTTTCCTAGATCTTCCTTTGCTGAGCAGTAACTTTGGATTGTAGCCTTTGCAGTGCTATACGGTTCTGCCCTGTTATATGCACCACCCAGTGGCTTGTCTGAGCATTGTTATACCCCATAGTTTAGTTCTCAAAGATTATGGTATGATTTTAGGATGAGATCCAACCATGCACAACTCAGATGTGATTACAAGAGTTCCTCCATAACTTTATGGATTTGCTCTTTTGAGTTCCCCCCTCTTCAGAACCCACTTTCCAGTTCTCTGGCCAAAAAGTTGGGGCTTTCGTTTTTCCACTCTCCCAGGCACATCTCACAACTGTGTTTGCTTCTGGAGCCAATAAACAAGAACAGAGAGATAAAAAAAAAAAATTAGTTTACCCCCACACTTCTGGGAATCATAGCTTCTCTGGTACCTTCCCTCAAAGACTTAGGTGTCTACCTGGCCACCAAAATCACTCTGCACTGCTACCAGTAGAATTCCTGGGGGCTGAGTACAGAAATAGAAAAGGGAGGGGGACAATAGGGTATTTCCCCCACTGTCTTCCTCTTAGAGGTTCTCTTTCTCACTCCTCAAGCTGGAAGAAAGGGCTTCTCTTGGACCACTTTTTCTCTGCACGCATTGTGCACTTCTGGGTTTGGAGCGGCTGTTGAGTCCAGTCTAAGTAATACCATGGGGGAAGAGAATGGTAAACTCACTGCCAATTTGGTGATGCTTTAAATTCTAATCTTCCTCAATATTCCTTTTGTCATTTACTTTAGAGTCCTCACATAGTTGCCCCATGCATTCTTTCCAAGGTTTATAGTTGCATTCAGTGGGAGAGACAAGGTAGAATGTGCTTACTCAATGTTGTATGGATCTAGAAACTGCTTGGTTTTTGTTTGTTTGTTTGTTTTAAAGAATTGCTTGTCTATTCAAAAGAAAGCTTTAAAACCAATTGTGTTTTGTTGTTCAAACATCTGTGAACAGACATTGCACCCTTTCCTAGTAGCATCTGGATGAGAATGTCACCTCCTGTTCTTTTACAGGGACACAGCTGACTGTGGAGGTCCACCCTCGAGATGCCATGCCCCAGCTGCTCAAGAAGTTTTCCTTGGCTAAACGTACGTACGTACAGGGCTGCTCGTGTGTGGAGGGCTGGTAGGGAGGCTGGAGGGCAACTTAATAGGCCAGAGCCCAGCCTGGGCATCTTCTGGGGTCAGGAGAGGAGTGACCTGGACCTACACACTGGTAAGAGGCAAAGGTATGACAGCTTCATGCCGGGGGTTCTCTTTCTTCTCCATACCCAGTAATCACTGTTGAGTGTCTGCAATTCAGCACGGGTAAACAAGGCATTTAGCTAAACATGAATTGCAGCACAAGACTGTTACTGTTTTTAGATACCATTTATTGACTGTCTAAAAAGTCACATGTACAGTGCTAAGTTTTTTACATTCATTAACTTTTTAACCCTTTGACTTATACCAGTATTATCCCCACTTTTTAGATTAGCAAAGTGAGGCTCAGAGAGGTGAAGTAAACTGCTGAGTGACCAGTTAGGAACAGGGTCAGACCTAGGTTCGATGCAGGCTTGTGTTCTTACCCACCATACTTGGCTGACCTCAGTGCAGTGCACACAGGCTCAATCCAGGCCCGCAATGTCTCCTCCACTTCTTTCTTGGACTTCTCCCTGTATCTGTCCATCTTGTGGCTAAACAAGGGCCTAGGAAAATACCAGCCAAGGAACAGAGACTGCAGAGCAGCCAAGGCACAGGTTCTCTCCGAGTCCACTCAGTGGGCCAAGGCAGACCCTCCAGGTCTGCCTGGCCCTACAGATCCTCAGCAGTCAGGGTCCCAGGAGGGCAGTCAAATGTAGAGAAGACAGGCTCTGGGAATCAGCGGGCTAGGTTCAGATCTCAGCTCTGTAACTTTGGGCACATGGCTTGACCTCTTTTTGGACTCAATTTTGTCATCTATAAAAGGGGGAAAATAATTCAGCATCCCTCTTCATAAGATTCTTGTGAAGTGAATGAGAGAGTTGATACAAAGCACAAGCCAGGTGTAGTAAGTACACAAGAAATGCCAGCTTCTATTTCGAACCCCCATTATTCCGCCAAAGAAGGTAGATGCAAGAAAATGTAGGTGCAAGAAAAGTCCCACTGTTACTCAGAATGGCCTACGTACATCTGCAACCTCCTGTTGTTATATTTACAGCCTGCAGCAGGCTTCAGGGGCATGAAACAACCTGCTTTGGCACCCCACCCCCAGCTCCTCCACGTTCCATCAGGAACCCTCATCTTCCTGACCTGGTTTCAGATCAGCAGGAAGAGTCTCTCTCCTGCTACTCATGGGGTCTAAAAACTATTGGCAACTATCCTGTCTTAATAGTCGTGGATTTATAGGATTTGGTTGCCCTTGAACCTTTCCAGGGAATAAGTTAATAACTGCTTAACCTTTCTGAGTTTCAGTTCCATACAAGCCACCTTCCCCTTGCCCCACTTTCATGTCTGTCCATGGTCAGTTCTTGGCTGGGGTTATCTGGCAAGAGTTCGCTGGTGCTCTCAGCATCCCCAGCTGTGCTCCTGGATGGCAGGGGAATGTGGAGGATGGCAGCAGCCACAGGCTCCTGGCGGGCTCACTGAATCATCTAAAGGGTTGCTGTCAGAGGAAATGCCACCTCTGCTCGCAGACTGCAGGTGTCTTTTTTGTCATCCTTTCCTGGGTCCTCCTTCTGCCCCAACAAGAAGTCCAGGGCAATTCCAGCCACCACACAGAGAATCATCCGTGCTTACATTTCTTTCTTCCGGAGTGCCTCCACATCTGACCTTTGGGATATTGTAGGTTTGCAAGGTGATAAAAATGGAAACACAAGACCCCGGCAGCCTGGAGGGAAAGATGCCCATGGTAAGTTGCAAGGGCCATTCTCTGAGACCGGGAGTTGGTTTAGCCTCATGGGGAGTCTCCAGTCAGTTGAAAATGGCTCCCTGGGTCACTGTGATGAGAGTCGGGGGCCACCTCTGGGCTCAGGGTAGGAGGAGTGTGTGATTGATTAGCAATGTCTGTCATGGACACAGGGGGAGAAGTGAAAAGCTCACACAAGATGAGCTCAAAGCAAAGCACAAACTCCACCAATAACAAGAAGTCCATTATGGGAAACATATTGAAACAAGAATTTAAAATAGTGTTAACTTTAAGAAGAATGCCAATCATCTGTAAGGTCAGAGGCATGTAAATGAGCAGAGTGGAGCAGAAGAAAAAACCGTGAATGGGTGATAGACCGCCTGGGTTTGAATCCTGCTTTTGTTTCCCGCTCACCTTTCCTGGGCCTCAGTTTCCCCCCAGTAGACCAGGTAGCACCTAAGGTTTGGTAAGGTTTGGCACTTCTTCCCATTGTTTTGCTTTACAATGAGAATAATTTAGTTAATGCCACTGGTATTTTAAATGTATTTGTGCAAAATCATATTTGGACATATATAATCTGCTCAGACGGTAAACTTAACGAGGCATAAATCATTATGGGTAATCTTAATGTTCAGGTATTGTAAAACAGAACCAAGAAAGGGTAAAACTTTTAGATTTCAGTCCATTTTTAAAATGCCATCTTTCTTCTAAATGGGGGCAGGGAGACCCCATTTGCAGAGCTGTACTGAGCAGAAATTGTCTGATGTGCAAGTCCCCTTCAGATCCACTTAGGTCACCCTGATAGCCTTTGTCAGAGAATGGTAGGAGACAGATTCCATGAAGGGAGAGGGCACTGAGAAGTGGGGGAGCTCAGCAGGGCCTGCCGCCATGTCCCAGTGCCCTTCTGAGGGGGTGGCTGGGCCAGAGCTGCGCTGGGACCACACAGGATAGGGGCTGATGGTGACCTAAGCAATGGGAGACAAGAAGTCCCAGTTCCGGCACCAGAGTAGTAGCCACAATGGTGCTGGGCTTCATGCGAGCTCTAATGCAAGATTGTGCAGGACAGCAGGATTTTGGGTGTGGGGTCCAAGAAATGTTGTAGCCCTCATAGAAGGAACAGAAGAAGAAAGAAAATGTCAGGTTGCTGAGTGAGGCCACAGCTTCATGGTAGGGACTTTGGAGTGGTGGGGAGATGCAGAAGGACCCATGTGGCCTGCTCCTGACAGCTGAACTTAACTAGCTGCCTAACCAGCTGACAGAGCCTCTCATCTAGCGCTGGCCCAGAGGGGTCAAGGAGCAGCTCAGGCCAGAGCTGGTGGTGACACCCCATCCTCTCCTTTTCATCACACCTCTTGGGTCTATAGCACCAAGGTACAGGGCTCTCACAGCCCTTATGGGAAGTGTGGGCAAATGCACAGGGCACAGAGGCTTCATGCCTGGTCTCCTGCACCTGCTTGCAGAGGACCCCATCCTTCATCCTCCAGGAACAGAGGGACACTGACCTTACACCGTGACCCACCATCTCATTCACCCTCCCAGGTGTCCCATAGATGTGTGCTTGAGGCCGTGGCTGAGTCCAGTGCCCCCCATTGAGGTGGAGGTTGGGCCCCAGCTAGAACCCACACCTTGTACTGCCACACTGGGCATTTCTCCACATCACTCTGCTCCTCCTGGGCTTGCTGTTGCATTCTGGTGTCCTTACTCACCCAACATTTGGAGGCTCCCGAGATGGCTGGCTGAGAGTTGGGTAGGTCCACAGGAGTCGGGGATCGATGGCCCTGTCCTCCTCTCACCCCCTCCCTCCTCTCACCCAGCTGCCTGACTTTGGTCAGCTTGGCTCAGGGGGCCTTGAATAAGAGGACCTTGCCAGATCCCAGGCTCTCTTCTGGGCTGGGACAGGAGGTTGCTGCCCATCCATTGGTTGGTCTCACCTCTGGTCAGTTGGCCCTGCAGCACCTGACTGGGCCTGTCCTGTGTCCAGGCTTTCTATGAGAAAGGCAGGACATACATGAGGGACTCTGGAGCCCAGCGTCCCTCAGCTACCTCCTCACAGTTCCTTGGGTGCCTGTTGTCAGAACACTTGGCTCCAGGCTCCATCTAACAAAGGGGCAAGAAAGAAAGCCTATCTGAGTGCCAAACCACCTCAACTTACAGATACCCAGATGACCTGGCTCCACCCTGCCCCCTTCCCACATCCAGAGTGCTGTGCAGCACCATGGCCCTGGCACAGACCCTCCCTCCCTGAGCTCATCAGGGACTGGCAGCATTGCCTAGACGCTTCCCACAGAGCACTCCTTTCTGGAAACGTGAGCAGGGATCCTGCAGAAAACTAAATGGTGGGAGAAGGGATTTCATCACCAGTCTGTCCAGGGCCTGTGAGTTCATTGAGGAGAAACTAGTTTCTTTACTGATGGTTTCATAGGCTCTGCACATAGGCTTATGTTCCCTGTGAGCCTCCAAGATGATAAGAGGAGTTGCCATAGTTCCCAGACCAGTTTGACCAAGGAACCTTTCTAGGAGGTACAGCTCTTAGGAGCAGAGTTGCAGGTTCCGGGAATCATGCAGAAGGTCGGGCAGGCACAGATTCTCAAAAAGACAGGGAGTCCTGAGCCAGGCAGCCATCTTCAACAGGTCTCAGTGGCTGACCAAGCTTCCCTGTGTTTCCAGCCTACCCCTGGGATCGGTCCAGCCTGAAATCCATGCCCCTGGACCTGAGGCAGTTTGAGAAACTGGACACCTATGCCTCACAGGTAGGAGAGCTGGCCCCTCTGCCTACAGGTCCCCAGGGTGGCTTGGAGTTCCCCAAGCCAGGATAGCACAGCCTTTCTCCAGGTCCCTCCTGAATGTATCCTGAGTCCTTTGGATGGATGGCCCAGGGTGCCTTTTCACAGTGTATGGATGGGGGATGGACAGCCCAAGGCAGCAGGCCCCTGCCCAGGACCAAATGCCATTCCATCTCCCCACACACACCACCCATGATCCTGATGCTCCCACCTGAAGCTGCACACCCTGCAGCTACCACATTGGCAGTTCCATCTGGACAGCCCTATCCTGCCCTCTCCCTGCTCAGCTGGGCATTGCTACTACTGAACCATGCCAGCCCCAGCTCAGAAAGAACAGAGCAAGAGGGTGGGGAAGGACCACAGATGCAGATGGCCAGCACCTACTGTGCCTATAGCCAAGCTCATCCTGGAGCATGTAGGCTGCTAAGCTCTCACGTCTCTGGGCCTGGACACATGTGGTATGTGGGTGGAGAGGGGCGGTTACAAGAGCTGAAGCACTAGGAGCACACTGGGGTCATGGGAGCCAAGAGGGACCCTCACCACAGAGAATCTGATTAGAAGGGCCAAGGAGCTAGTCCCGCTGGTGACATCAGAATGAGCCATCCTAAGCTGGTAAGCCAGGAAGCCATCTATAGGCTGCTGGCCAGGCTCAGAGCAGTGCCAGAAACCCAGCTGAGGCCACAGGCATGGCCACAGAGCAGTGGACAGCCAGAGCCAGCCAGGCCCATGTAGGGCCAAGGGTGGGGACCAGTGGACCAGAAGCCACAAGACTGAAGTTTGGGGTTAAATCAGGCATCAACCAGGCCATAGTGTGGGCCTGCAATGTGTTCTAGGCCCTGGGAGAAGAACAAAGACAAGGACTATGGAGTCGGAGCAGGACATAGAAAAAAAAGAGGCAGAGCAGCTGGGCGAGTGGGAGACAAAAGAGGGGCCATGAGGTCTCCTTGTGGTCAGAGGGTGAGTCCTGGAGTTCCAATACGAGCAGTGGGACAGTTCCAGGAAAGAATAGGTCAAGGAATACTCTAGGGTCGGGCCTGAAAGACTTGTGGGCAATGGTGACCCCACAAATCTTCCAGTTGCCCCAACTTCTCTAGCAAGATTGAATAGGGTCAGTGCCCATTCAGCAGCCCCAGCCCTGCTTCCTCCTGAGGGCCCCTGTGACAAAACATAATTTTTTCCTTTCTTTTTTTAAACTGTGGTAAAATATGTATAATATAAAATTGCCTTTTTAATCATTTGGAAGTGGCATTAATTACATCCACAGTGTTGTACATCCATCACCACTATCTACTTCCAAAATCAGAAACTCTATACCCATTGAGCAAGAAATTCCCATTCTCCCTCCCTCCAGCCCCTGGTAACCTCTGATTTACTTACTGTCTCTGTGAGTTTACCCATTCCAGATATGTCATATAAGTAGAATCATACAATATGTGTCCTTTTATGGTTGATTTACTTCACTTAGTGTCATGTTTTCAAGGGTCATTCATATTGTAACACGTATCAGAACTTCATTCCTTTTAATGGATGAATCACATTTTATTTACCCATTCATCTGTGATGGACACTGGGTGGTTCCTGTCTTTCAACTTTTGTGAATAATACTGCAATGAACGTTTGTGAACAAGTATCTGTTTGAGCCCCTGTCTTCAGTTATTTTGTGTATGTACCTAGGAGTGGAATTACTGGATCATATGGTAGTTCTATGTTTAACTTTTTGAGGAACAGCCAAACTGTTTTCCACAACAGCTGCATCATTTTACATTCCCACCAGCAATGTACAGGGTTCTGATTTCTCAACGTTCTTGCCAACACTTCTTGTCTATCTTTTTTACTCTAGCCATCCTAGTAGGTGTGAAGTGGTATCTCTTTGTGGTTTTGATTTGCATTTCCCTAGTGACTAATGATGTTGAGCATCTTTTCATGTGCTTATTGGCCATTTATATATCTTTGGAGAAATGTATATTCAAGTCCTTTGCCCATTTTAAAGTTGGGTTGTCTTTTTGTTGTTGAGTTGTAGGAGTTCTTTATATATTCTGGATATTAAATCCTTATCAGATATATGATTTGCAAATATTTTCTCCTATTCTGTAAGTTGTCTTTTCACTTTCTTAATAATGTGCTTTGATGCACAGAAGTTTTTTATTATTATGAAGCCCAATTAACCTATTTTTTCTTTTGTACCTTATGCTTTTGTTATCATATCTAAGAATTCATTACCAAATCCAAGGTCATGATGACTTACCCCTGTGTTGTTTTCTAAGAGTTTCATAGTTTAAGTTTTTATGTGTTGGTCACTGATCCTTTTTGAGTTAATTTTTTATATGGTGTGAGGTAGGGTTTTACTTTATCCTTTTGCATATGGATATCCAGTTGTTCAACATGATTTGTTAAAGAGACTATTCTTTCCCTTATTGAATGAACTTGGCACCCTTGTCAAAAGTCAATTAGCCATAGATGTATTATGAGTTTATTTCTGAACTCTCAATTCTGTTCCATTGGTCTGTATGATCCTTATGTCAGTACCACACTATTTTGATTACTCTAGCATTGTAGTAAGTTTCAAGATACAGAAATGTGAGTTCTCCAACTTCGTTCTTTTTTCAAAATTGTTTTGGCTATTCCAGCCCCTTACAATTCTATATGAATTTGAAGACTAGTTTTTCCATTTCTGCAAAAAGGGCTTTTGGAATTTTATAGAGATTCTGTTAAATCTATAGATTGTTTTGGGTAGTATTGACCATTACTATATACCAACCTGGCTGGTCCCAAATTCTACAAAGAAAAGATATAGTGTCTCTAGGGCCAGTGATTCAGCTGGTCAGCACTACCCACCATGTCCAGTCCCCCTACCAATGGCTGTATTCAGCCCAGGCTTTGTCCCTCTGGGCCCCCTCCTCCACCTTCTCTGCCTGGAGGAAAGGCAGCACTGACTAAGTGTCAGGGTGCTGGGCGCCCCACAGCCCTCATCTAGGCCCTGACACAACACACCCTTCCCACTCCCCAGGTGACAGTCAAGAGTGGCCTGGATGAGCTGGTGAATGACCTGCTCCAAGAGGCCCACAGTGACCTGGAGAGGGTCCGTGCCATCTGGATCTGGATATGCCACCACATAGGTAGGACCACTTGTGTTGTTACTGGTTCTAGGACCCCTTGATGCCACTCCTTGCAGGCCCCTGTTCCCAGGGCAGTAACTCTGGGACTCACTCAATCACCAGTGAGCATGAAAGATGAAAGACGGAGGACAAGGGTTCCCAGATGGCTAGATTGAATAAGCTAAGACTAACCAAGCAGAATAAAGGTCACCATGTGTTAACAGTCTCCATGAAGGGTCATTTGGTGGGGGGGGACGGATCCCACATGGCCCTTTTCCCACAGCCAGTGGCCAGAGCTGAGGCTCTTTACCCAGTATCCCCTGCCCTCAGTTTTGGCTTCCTAGTAAACCTGCTCTAGAGAGATGAGAACCCAGGACAGACCATCTTCAAAACAGATGATCATCAGTTGGGGAGGAGTCACAACTGTTTGGAAAGTTATTACAACCATAATTTGCTTAAAGTAGCAGTGCCAGGAAGAGTGGGCTCTCCTCTCCCTGCTCCTGTTCCCACATTGGCAACTTCAGTCACTGGTCTCAGCCCAGTTCCCAGAACCACCTCAGGGGGCCTGGGCCTGTGCAGCTGCCTACAGCTCTTCACAGGACCATCTTGGGAGTCTGACTAGGTCAAGCCAAGCCAAGGCCCACAGGTGGTTGCTAAGAGGATAATGGATGCTGCCCTTTGAAGTGGATGGAAGTACCAGATGGTGGGTGGACTTTCACTGATTTCCCTGTGACATAATGACCCAGGGGGCTCTCCTGACCTGCTAACACTGGGCTTTTACTTTGTCTTCCTGAAGTAGCAGTTAGAGATGCAGCTTGGATGAACTCACCTGACACAGGTAGGGGCTGTGACATAGGCCTGAGGGGCCACCTGCTCCCACCTGAACCCGAGCATCTCAGCCTGGGCCTTAAGGGGGCAGGATCAGAAACAGAATATTTGGTAGGACTTTTTTACTGCACACACACACACACACACACACACACACACACACACATCCATCATTTGTGCCCTCAGTGGCCACTGTGCCCCAGGGCCTCACCCTGGGCCTCAAGCTCTCTTGTTAGTGCAGTGACAGGCTGCAGGAGAGCAGTCTTCTCTATTTGGGGCAAGCTTTGACTGTAGATCAGCGCCCCCTGTGGGTCAATGTGAGGCCTCGGCTTTGGGGGCCGCAGCAGAGATGGGAGCAGCTTCACTGGACTGGCCTGCAGAGCTGTGTGGTGGTGGGAACAAGTGTGCAGAACCCCCTAGCCCCAATTCTTCTCCCAGGCCTGAGAGAGGCCAGCCCAAATGCTGCTGAAAGCACAGCCGAGGGCAGGGGCCATGCCACAGGCTTTGGGCCCCCTCCTCCTCTGCATCTGCCTCAGTGACCTGGTTCCTCACAGCCTCCTACCCTGCCCTCTAGAATACGACATCGAGGCTGCCCAGGAGAAGGACCGCCAGGCCTTCAAACCCAGCAACATCCTGCGGACCCAGAAGACCAACTGTGATGGCTACGCCGGGCTCTTTGAGAAAATGTGCAGGTACCAGAGGGATCCTGCAAAAAGCAGGCAGTCATGGGGCTGACAACTGCCACCCATCCCTCCCCTCTTCCAAAGTGCTGTGTGCCTTCGCCCACATGCCAGTCTTGAAACCTGAGTTTGCAAACTCTGCTCTGGAATCCAAGTGAGTCCTGAAAAGGTCAATTTCTCCCATTTTAACACCAGCGTAATTGACTTTGTACCATCTGCCAGGCTTCGCGATGCATTAACATAATGGCAGATGAATGCACAGAAATAATTTGGTTATAAAAGGCCCTTTTTCCACCTTCTCTCATCTCTGTGCAGCTGAAGGTTAGAAGAATGGCAGATTTGGGAACAGGAGGACAGTGGCTGCTGACGCCAAGGGGACTGTGAAAGGCTTGTCCTCAAGTCTGGCACAGGGGGCCTCTCTTGGGGGAAACAAAAAAAACTTCCACCTGAAAAGAGTTGTCAGTTGGAAAAGCTGAATAACTAGGAAGCAGCATCTGTCTTAGAGCCTTTGGGCTCCATTTTCATTACTGTGGGAGTGAGCGCCTGGCCAGGTTGCCTGGGTAGGGGGACAATGGCTGAGTGGCCGGTAAGGAAATCATTTGTGTTTGGAGTCATCATTGCCCGGTCTGGGTGACCTCGAGACAGACTCAAGGCTGAGGAAGCCCCACTGATCCCTGAAGCTTCCTCTGCCTGCTCTCTGAGCCTTCTGGGTTCCCCAGGAAACGATCAGCCAGCCCCAGGGGCAGCTGGAAAGCCCCCTCCACAGGGACGGACCCTCTGAGATTGGGTCTGCGGAGGCACCGAGATGTCAGCCCCAGCACTGCAGGTGGCGAGTCCTCAGACCAAGTGTAGCAAGCAACACTTAGAGTCCAGAGACAGACAGCTGTGATGTGTCTGTTTTGCACCGACGTCAACAAGGTGTCCTACTCCATTAGACACCCACGCCACCCATTCCCCGTCTGACCTCCACGTTCCCCATTACCACCTGCCCCCCATGGTGCTCTGGCCCTCCTGCTTTTCCCTTCCCCTGCCTCCAAGACCCAGCCCTGAGACCACAGCCCCAGAGGCAACCAGGACAGAGCAACCCTCACCATCCCTAACATTCCCATCGCCACCCCCACCCCAGACCTAGGTGCCCCCACATGCCTTTGGGCTTCTTCAGGAGCTGGGATCCTCTCCAGCCCTCTACCAAGGCTCCTCGGGCCCCAGGTTCCTGAGCAAGACTGTCCTGTAAAGTCCTCCAGAATCTGGCCTCACCCACCCTTCCAGCCCTGCGCCCTTGGATGCCGCCCACACTTCCTGAGCTCACTCCGCTCCCCTCTCCCTAATGCTCCTTCCGGGCCCCATGCCAGGACCTCCTCAGCACACCTTATCCACAAACTCATGTCTTGCCTTATGCTTTCATTAAATAAGTTTTCTAAATTAAAAATATACTTGTTAATTATAGGTGATGTATAAAGTGCACAGAAGCAAAACCAAGCAAATTAAATTACTCTGAATCCTACCACACAGAGAGAACATTCTGTCATGTTCCTCTCTGGACTTTGTTCCCCTCTAGAGGTGTTAACCTCTACTCATTTCCTCTCATATGTCCAGGGGGGTTATATGTCTTCATATGTCGTTAGCCACCCCCTCCGCTTCACCTATGACCACCCATCTCAGAATCCTGCACATAGTAGGCCCTCAAAGACAGGAAAGGACAGGCCATTCCAGCATACTTGTACAAAATGGACTTATTCTTTTTTTAAATATGGAATAACCATTGATCGGACTGCAGCTCTACTTGTGTGTAGCATTTTTCAGACCGTAATTATTTTCATCTGCATTTGCAAATGTGAAAACACGTGGGTTTTTCAAGTCATAGACTATATGCTTCTGTACCCAGTACAAGCTTTCTAGCATGGTGGAGGAGTGCCAGGCTTACAGCCAGGAAGGCTGCCCCAGTCCTCAGCTTCCCAGTCCTTAATTTACCACTTGTTAGTTTAATTCCTTTTGGAAGGCACTTAACCTCTCAGAGCCTCAGTTTCCTCGTCTGTACACTGGGACTGCGTTGCCTACTGGCAGGACTGTAGGACTAAACGAGAACATGCAGTTTGGGGTTTGCTGAACAGACTTTGGGATTGTTGGTTTTTTAAGCTTTCTTGTCTTTCTTGAGTATGGAAGTGGTTCTGCTCTGTGGAACTTCCCTACAGACTCATCTAGACTCCCAGCGACTCAGAAAACTGACACTTGCCTCAAGTGAAACTGTCAACTTTTTGGCCTGGTCCAGCGGCTTAACAATGGCCAGATCCTGGCCTGCGGCTGATCATTAAAACACATCCCAATGTTTTACATCATTTAAAGTTAGGCCCCAACGTGGCAGTTCCCAGGTGCAAGACTCCTCACATTGCCGGGGATGTTTAACAATAGCTGCCAGGTCCTGGAATTCTTTTAACTTTTGCTTTAAAGATCAGTAACCTCATCTATACATCACTTCCCTAATTCCCTTTACTTTTAAAATAACTGTCGAAGGTTTGGTAAATTCATTAGCTGATTCCTTAATAACTGAAGACATGCAATCCACACTTGCTGATTTATCCCTGCCCAGTTGTCAGAATGTCCTCTTAGCAAGAGTTGTACCCACACGGCCATCATTACTGCTGCCAGTCCATTCTGCCTCCCTGCAATGGCCTCATTAAAGACTGATTTAATAAAGTAATTTGGTGGGGAACTCAGATATTTTCTCAAAATCATTCATTTCCTCACCATCTTTCGTACGTAACTGATGGGGGGTTATTTGTTGGTGTTATTGCTTGTAACTGCTGGTCCACTTTCTTTCTGACTTTCTATCATCCAGCATTAATGTCTTTCCCTTTGCTCAGTTGTCACAGCCTTAATGAATTCTGCTTAATTTCCTTGCAGGGCCAAGTTCAATTCCCCAGATTCCTGCCCCTGAGTCAGCCTCTAGTACATTCCCTCACCCCGTTATCACAGCTCTAGCACCAGCTAGCAGATTTTCCAGAGACTTGATAAGGCCAGGAGCTTATTACCAGTTTGAGGCTTTGATGCTGAGGGGATTGATTGTCACCAATCAGATGTCAGTCGGTTTCCCATCCATCCTTCATCTGTCACAGAGAGCAAGCACAGTGACATGCTTCTTCCTCNTATCACAGCTCTAGCACCAGCTAGCAGATTTTCCAGAGACTTGATAAGGCCAGGAGCTTATTACCAGTTTGAGGCTTTGATGCTGAGGGGATTGATTGTCACCAATCAGATGTCAGTCGGTTTCCCATCCATCCTTCATCTGTCACAGAGAGCAAGCTCAGTGACATGCTTCTTCCTCGCATGATATCCCGAGTGATCCCAAAACATCTCTTGCTTCTAAAGGGCTCAAAACTGCAGAGTGGCCTTCTCAGCCTCCTGAGAGAAGCAAATACATTGGATAACCTGAAATTATCCCCAAATCTGACTGTCGTATAAGGCCTCCAAAAGAGGCATTTAACATCCCCCAGCCTGTGTTTTTCAAAGGATAGTGCTCACAAATATGAATTATATCACTATAGCAAACCACCTTTTAATTATGCTCTGTATACCTCCCATAAATTTATAGATTAAAACATATCTTGGTGAACAAAATGGCTGGTGCAAGGCAAAGCCTCCCAAACTGGGCGTTAGGACAGCAGAGTCCTGGTGCTGCTTTGGCCACTGACTGGCTGTGTGTCCCCAGGCAAGTCAGCCTCCTTCTCTGAACCTCTGTCTCCTCACCGGTTGGAGAGCTTATCAGTAACATTTTAGTGATGGTTCACGTATCTACTCCCTCTTCCAACTTCTAACTACGAGCACATCCAGGATAGCCAGTGAGCTTTATTTTTGGAATATTGTATTTTATTATATTGTAGGATATGATATAATATGATATATGATATATGATATGATATGATATGATATGATATGATATGATATGATATGATATGATATGATATGATATGATATGATATGATATGATATGATATGATATGATATGATATGATATGATATGATGATATGATATGATGATATGATATGATGTAATTCCCTGGTGCCTGGCACAGTGCTTGGCTCATAGTGTATACAGTCAGTGATCTTTGATGGCATGAAATGATCATGGGTTATCCTGACTAGCTACCAGCAGCTGGAATTACTAGTCCCACAATTTGGCATGAGAATTATGGAATATTAACAGTAATGCTTTACATTATGACTGCTTTGTCCAATTCATCTTGCGCATTACTGCCAGGTAATAAAATATCCTTATATCATAGTCAAGCATGGCATAAGCTTATAGCTGAGTTTCTTTTCTCATCTTTATTCTGCCCCAGGCATCCCCCACGGCCCTCCCATCTTCTCCTCTGCCTGTCAGAGGAGAATCAACCCCTAGAGATCATTTAATGCCGGCTTTTCTTTTTGCCTATTATAAGCCTGGCAAGGTCGCTCTGGAGGTGACCATTGGAGCTGGGAGTAGAGCTGTGATCTGGCTCAGCCCAGTGACCATCCACTCCAGCCAGGAGCACCCCAGGAGCGAGAGCTGCCCCTGACCAGGCCTGGGCAGGTTCTCAAATCTTATTTCCAGTTCGTCCCTTCCCATGGGAGGCCACCCTTGGGCGGCAGCATGTCCAGAGGTGCATGGCTCCACTCAGAGCACCCCACTGCAATGCAGGCCACTCCCCTCCCTCCACATTGCACTAGAAATCAATGTGCACCGACGTTCCGGGCAAGGAAGGAAAATAACNACTCCCCTCCCTCCACATTGCATTAGAAATCAATGTGCACCGACGTTCCGGGCAAGGAAGGAAAATAACTCCCCGAAGAAAGTAATTTCAAGTAGTATTTATGCATTTTTTTTCCAGTTCCAAAAGTAACACATAATCATTATTGAAAATTGAGAAAATATAGAGAAGTTCAAAGAAGAAAATTTAAACCACCCAGAATCCCAGGTGACTTTTGCGCTCTCTCTGCCCACACTCTGTCCCTTGTCCTCTGTGAATGGGCACGTGCGTGCGCGCGCACACACACACACACACACACACACACACACTGCCGGCAGAGTTCTATAGGCTCTGGTCAATTAGTACTGCTTCAGGAGTGTTTCNGGTCAATTAGCACTGCTTCAGGAGTGTTTCTAAACTCACTAAATATTTTTCACAGCATTTCNCTCTGGTCAATTAGTACTGCTTCAGGAGTGTTTCTAAACTCACTAAATATTTTTCACAGCATTTCTTCTCCTCACCCTCTCTGAGCATGTGGAGCCCTCCTGTTGAGGCCCAACCCTTGCCCATACCTCTGATTGTGCTTTTGGCCCTCCCCCCTCGCTGGCCATTTTCTATGAGACTATGACCATGTTCAGGTCTCCTCATCCTGAAAACAAGCCCCCTGGGCCCTGCACCCCCGCAGCCCCCTCCCCTGCAGCGTTGCAGTGCAGTGAGGCAGGGGCTCCCTAGGTGTTCGTGCTGTACTCTCTCCTCCTGGGGGGGGATCCAGGCCATGGGGGACAAGGCTCATCCCATGCAGGTGAAGTAGCACCCTCGCAGGGTGGGATGTGGTCACCTGCAGGCTCCACATCTCACCTCGGTGACTCTCAACAAATGATATGTAGCTATAGATAAGTAATACTTAATCCAATATGCTGTTAATTGTTGATAAAACATTCATTTTTATAAGGGACATTTCCCCCAGTCCCATAGTGAATGTGTGGCCATTTCACCCCAGTACCTGAGACACTCCATGGTGCTCTTGCTTGGACTTACTAAGGGGACACCTGGTGCATGGAGGGACCCTGGCCGCCAGAGGCCTCCTCCCAGAACCAGGCCCAGAGACCCCCAGAGTGGGGAATCAGCCCATCAGAGCAGAGTTCAGGGTCAGCGTGCTGTGGAAGGTGACTGGGCAGCCTCTGTTGTGCTCCCAGGAGCCCCATCTAAAGGGCCACCATGCACATCCCAGATAGCATAGATTTGTGTATTTACTATACCAATCTTCCACAAGTGAAAAGAAAGTGTCTCTAAGAAAGGCAACATTTTCTAATTCACACAAAGCCCCCAGAAGGGCTAGCACAGGTGTCCCCTCAGTCAGACTAACAGTCTACCCCCTTGGCTGCCATTTGGGGGCTAGGATACTAAAGAGAAGTGTCAGCTGAGTGTCACAGGACTCTCAGGGCTCCTGCTCTGCCTTGGAGTGGTGCCCAGCATTCAAATTTGGGTCTCAGGATTTTAGCCGCAAACAGCCCGATTATAGATTGCCAGTGATTTCTGTGGTTCCCAGATGTGGCCAGTGCCCATTCCCCGCTGTCCAGGTCCCAAAGAGTCTTCCCAGCTTGGTTGTGAGCACTGGGGGAGTGCTCGCTCAAAGGGGCCCGAGAGCTCAGAAAAGACCAATCAGCATCCCACGTCCCAAAGGACAACTGTGGGGAACTCCAAACCGGTGGCGATGGCAGTCAGTCAGCAGATGACCTTAACGCACTGTTATGGCCTGGCAGTGAGACCAGGATGATGCTGGCAGTGGGCCTGTCCTCCCAAGTCCAGACTGGAGGCACAGGCCGGCCCACCCCCACGCAGAGGGACCCCCACACAGCGGTCCCTGAGCAAGGGGAGTAGGGCTCAGCTGTCTTCCGCACCCTCGCTTCCAGCACACCTCCCCGACACTTCGCTGTGTCACTCAGACCCCGCTCCTCAGCCACACACGTGTCTAGAGCTCCTCTGGTCCTTCAAGAATGTTGCCATTTCCATGGTTTCCATGCTGTTGAGGGGCTCCTCTCTGTGGTGCTCGCTGTCCCCATGAAGAGCAGGCTCTGGGGAGAGACACTTTAGTCTGGAGGAAACAGCAGGCAGCAGAACCACAGCGGGATCGCCAGCCCTGTCCCCACCCCCTGCCCAGGGGATAAAGGCCCACAGGCTGTATGAATACATACATATATGTATGTGTATATATATACACGCCCGTATATGTATGGCTCTGTGAGCGGTAAGGAAAAAGGGAGACACAGAGGGACTCAGAGATAGCAAACACATCTGAGGCCCGGGGCCACTGACAGACGGGAGGGGGGCAGCCCAGCAGAAGCCACCTCTCAGACCCTCTGTCCCACCCCCAGAATCGCTGGAGTGCAGTGCGTGACGGTGCCAGGCTACTCCAAGGGCTTTGGCTACCAGACCGGGCAGAGCTTCTCTGGGGAGTTTGACCATGCCTGGAACGCCGTGTACCTTGAAGGGAGATGGCACCTGGTGGACAGCACCTGGGGCAGTGGCCTGGTGGACACCACCACCTCCAAATTCACCTTCCTGTAAGTATAAGTCTCAGTTCTGCTGGGCGTCTGGCCGGTGGGTATGGGGGAGATCCAAGGTTGAAGGAGGCGACAGGAGGGAGGTGGAGCCAGGGAGACCTCGGCCTGCTGCCGGCCCCTCCCACCCTTCCTCAGGCTCCGAAGTGAGCTGGCTCCAGGCCAATTATTAGGGCCCAGAACTTTTTGTCGCCTCACCCTCAGCTGACTAAGTCCCTCCTCTGGCTCCCTATTCCCTCCACCCAAGAGCTAAAAGCCACAGGCATTTGCCCGCAGGCCACATATGAGGAAAGGCAGGGCTGAGAACCTTCTTTAACTACCTTGGGTTCCTTGCAGGCTCTCGGGCCCATTGGCCATGTGTGATGCACAGATATCAGAATTCTCTCCTGCTGCTTCCCCTAGACACCCAGGCTCCTCTCCTCCTCGTGGGCTGAATGCAGGAAGGGGTGCTGTTGGTGTGCAGAGTCACTGAGCCACCCTGGGTGCAGGGGGCTGGAGCAACCCTGGCCTTAAGCTGAGGCTACAACGTTCATTGTGGAGTATGATGTCCATCAGCAGCTCAGATCCATCAGAAAAATGAGCGCTGTCTCTGATGTTTTCAGTTTAAATATTGACAGCCCCCCACACAGAACAAATACAAGCACTTGCACACACACACACACACACATACACACACACAGGGCTGTGCGCTCTCAGGCCTCCTCACCTCTCAGCTCCAGTCACTGCTCAGGTTGGGCTGAGTGAAACCCCCCATCTCAGATGAGTCTCCCCATTCTCTTCTTGATCCCCAATGCTGATTCCCAGAGAGCCACGTCTGATCATCTGGTTGATCCCATACACTCAGAAGGGTCTCCACTGGCACAGCTGCTCAGGCATGGAGACGAGTGGGGGCAATGGAGCTGGCCCACCTGAGCGCTTTCCCTCCCTGCCTCCACTGCCTGGCACCTGGTCCGCAAGTCACACCTTTTGCTCCCTTCAAGTCTCCAGCTTTGAGAGCAGGGGAGCACATTCTCCCTGGACGCAGCTGTGAGTTGTGGCCTTCTCCTTGACGAGGCCTCAGATCCTACCTTGGCTCCTGTTTCGGGAAGCAGACATGAGTGGTAGTCTCCAGTGCCCGTATCAGGATTGGAGATGGTGCGTCTTCCCATCCAGGCGCTGACAGGACCCCTCCTGTGGGAGTGTTAGCCAAAAGAAGGCCCCACAGATCCCTCCCTGTGAGGCCCCACCCCCCAGAGCTGGCCCTGTTCACCCCCATGGCTGCTGACCAGCTTTTCCTCCGCTCCAGCTACAATGAATTCTACTTCCTGACCCATCCCGCACTGTTCATCGAGGACCACTTCCCCGACAACAAGAACTGGCAACTGCTCAAACCTCCTCAGTCCCTGAGGCAGTTCGAGAACAACATGTATCACAAGAGTGAATTCTACAACAAGGGGATGCTGAGTGCCCACCCGGAGACCCCTGTGATCAGAACAGGTAACCCTGGCAGGTGGCCAGTGCACCTGCAGCAGGGACAGGGCAGCCACTCAGTGCCTCTAGGCACCTGGGCCCCCATGGGGCTGTCTTTCTGGGCCCGTGAGCTCAGTGTAAGCCGTATGTATGTGGAGGGGCGTGCAGGGGAGGGCCACTGAGGCAGCCAAGGTTGGCAGGCCATCAGTCACAGGTATAGGGACAGAAACCCGCTCACGCCAGCATGAACCAAGACGGGGGCGTGGAGGAAGCCTGCAGGCTTTCCTACCCCATGGGTTGCACTCACAGCCCAGCCCATCAGGCAGCAGGATCTGTTCCCCATGCTGGCTGAGCCTCAAGCAGCTCACAGGGTAGGTAAGGACAGCCTGAGCCCTGGCTGAGCCCCCTCCCAGTTCAGGTGCCCAACAGAAGCTGGCCACCCTTCTGTGTTCTGTTCCCAAACTCCTGGCAGAGAGCATGGTTGGCCCAGCTGAGTCAGTATCTGTGTGTCAGTGATCTAACCAGGATGCCTGGGAGTGGCAACGGTCTCCCAAGACTGAGGGTGGGGAAAGTCTTCTCAGGTAGGTGGCTGGTGAGCTGGGTCTTAGGAGCTGGAGTAGAGCAGGCATTATGGTACATGGGGACGTACATGTCCCAGGAACCTCAGCTCAAGCTCCCCGAGACCAGGGCTGGCTCCAGAGGGCAATACAGCCTCCTCGGTGCCCTGGATGCCTGTTGGCTCTGCTGGCCTCTGCTCCACCTCCCTCCTTTCTGGCAACAGGATCCAGCCCTTTCCAGCTAGCTTCCCTGGGGCTGGGCAGTGCAGGACCCCGAACTGAGCTGTCCCCGTGGCTAGCCTGGAGTGACATTTGCTCCCTACCTCCCCACGGGGGCCACACAGGCAGCCAGTTGGGTGTGTCTGCACACTATGAGGCATACAGGGTGCCAGCTCCAGGGGTCCAGAATTGTGGGCATAGGCCTCGCAGGACTGTCTCCAGAGGACTGTGTCTTATGCATCTCTGAGGCCCTGGGGCCTGGTCCTGGGCTGGGCACATGCCTGGACACCCTGCGGGGCTCAACACAGCCCTGTCAGTGCCCCCCACACCTCAGCAAAGGACTGCCTGTCTGTCCACCCCCTCTCTACTTCCAGGGGGCTTGTGTACCCTCAGGAGGGAAGGCCTGAGCTCACATTAGTGATAGCACAGGGTGGCCTGGGGGTGGGCCAGAGCCCGTGGAGGACCCACCATGCACTGCAGGGGCGATGGGGGCACAGGTGCTCCCAGATTAGTTCCAGCTGCCTTGCCCCTTCAGCCTCACTAGGGGTTTCCTTAACCAGGCTAAATTCTGGCTTACTTTTTAAAACTACAAATACCTGGTGTATCCTGCTGCTAAATCACAGCGGGAGGCCACTCTCTTGGAGAATGCCTCTCCTGAGCTTGAGGCCGAGGGCCTTGGCTGCCTGGGGTCTCAGCAGGTGGGAGCCTGTTGTCTGCAGTGGGCCCTGGAGCCCCAGGGAAGAATGTGCCAGGGCACACCAACATCCAGCTAATGCCACTGAGTGGAATTTGCCTTTTCAAGCGACAGAAATGTCAACACCGGGTGCTTTCATAGATAGTAATCTAAAATGAGATTCCATATTCGTGATGCATATTTAAAGACTCTCTCTTGGTTGGAGCTAGATATGTTAAGAGTGGAGATGGGAAGGAACCAGAAGAGGGAAACTGAGGTGCACAAGGCAGGAGAGGAAGAGGGCACAGGA